CCCGAGCTGGGAGCCATCTTTGGCAGAGCTTTTGAAGGGCGAGGCTAGACAGCCGGGTGTAGGGAAACAAAGAGCGCAAACAAAGAGAGGAGAGTTGAAGAGCAGTGATCAGCTGTCAGCACGTCCTTCTGAAAGGAACCAAGTCCTGCTTTTTGTCTGCTCTGACCCATGCAATAGACGTGTGAAATGTGAAACATACAAGTTCAAGGAAATCTCATCTATCTAGAGCTCAACACCCCAATAACCTCTTTTTCAGAAAACACAGCTGTGAAACTAAAATAATTGTTTTAAATTAACCAGCTAATGAGACAGAAATATCGATCTGTAAATCACATATTAGAAGCTGACCCTACTGATCCCCCCAGTGTATTCATTCTTACTTGGCATGATTCTAAAGCACTTTGGATTTCAAGCCTGCAGCCTGATGGAGAAGAAGGGACCACTGGAGTCAGGCATTTCAAGAAGGAGCAGCAGATCAGTTCTTTCAGGAACAAAAAAACCAATGACTAGCAAACACTAATTCAAACACTGCTCTTTGAGGTCATTTAGGGTAGAAATAAACAGCCTGGTATACTTCAGTTGACCTAAAAGATAAAAGACACCACCGAATTATAGAAAAATAATTGATCACTATCATAACCCGTGATTGCTGAGAAAGGTTGCATTATGTTTAATGTCCTAATTAAGAGTGTTACAACCTACTTCAGAAAGGTTTTTATGCAAAATTGTTATATTTTAAAAAATCTAGTACTTTAAGGACCATACCCCTGACCATTCAATATTAAAGTTGTATTATAGACTGCTTTCCTTAGTTATCTAAGGGGTTGTAGGGAGGGCTCATGATTAATTTGTCCATAAGATTAAAAGGGTAGAAAGTCACATGGTATGACATTAACAATAATAAAGGCCACTAACATTTATTGAGCAGTTCCTATGTGACAAGTGCTATTCTAATGCCTACTATCTAATTTAATAAATAGTGGCAGCATATAATAATGTGAGGTACGTGAAGTTGGAATCCCAACTTGAGAATCTCAGAACACCTCAGTAGATAATAAATTTTATAATTCTCCATATGCAGAAATGGAAATTTTGAAGAAACTAAAATATAGAAAACTGACAGGTATGTTAGATATTTGTGGCAGGACAAGAATTACACCCCAAAGATCCTGATGAAATCCTTGTCTTTTCCTCATGTATTTCTCCTGCTCCTTTGGGTAATAAGAACATTTCCCTCTTTCTCCTCTTTAAACCTCACCCTAGGCACTTTCTCCCCTTACCACAGCTAATATTGATTTTCTTACGCCTGATGCATCACTAGTAGACTTGCTTATAGGTTAATTTAACCTCAAATTTCAGCCAGCAAGTAAAATTTCTTGGTAAAAGTCCTTTAAACCCTCATAATGTCTTAACACACTTTGAAACATTTCCATTGCTGTCCAGTATAATATGTATTTTCCCCACTGCTTATCACTCCTTGCTCTGTAGCCATCATTTCATTGAGCCCCTCCTTTTCAGTATTCCTGTCAATATTTGTGGGACAGGTAGACCGTATGAATTTTAATTCTTTCTGCAGGTTTTCTTGCTCTCTAGAGAGCAAAAGAAAAGGCCAGGGTAGCTGAAACACGGCAAGCAAGGGGAAGAGCATAGGCCATGTTGAGTTTGGACTTTATTCCACAGGCGTTGGAGGATTTTAAGCAGGTAAACAATAGGATCTGCTGTGTTTTTAAAAGATCCTTCTGGCTGCTCCAGAATCACAAATGTAGAGCTATTTTTCTTCTATGCCTGGGTCTGCACCTGGAAGAATTTGGAGCAAAACTGTTACATAAACTTAGTTTCTTTTTAAAAAATATTTTAATTTCAATCTGCCATGTGGACAAAAAAAAAAAAAAATTTCATGGAGTATTTCTGCTTCCTGCTTATCTGTGGAGTAAAATGCTTTCCGTAAAGTGATTGAGTAGCAGACTTCCAGGAATGGAGGCAGAAAAGATTTGCTGTCCTCTCTGTGCTTCCCATAGTCGGAATTTTCTGAATCTAAGCTCCTAACCTGAGGCTTTGCGTAAAGGAGAGGACATGCAATAAGTGAGTGAGTTAGCAGCAAATACAACAAGCAAGGGAGGGTTGGTAAGCAAATAAAAAGAAGAAAATATCTCCCCCCCAGCCAGGTGGTGCAGTTGGTGGGAGTGTCGTCCCGTACACCAAAAGGTTTCGAGTTCAAACTGATTGATGTTTCTCTCTCACATAGATACTTCTCTTTCTCTCTCTCTATTTCTCTCTCTCACACACATACACACAAATAAATAAACATATGCTCAGGTTTTAAAAAAAGGATTTAAAACACAGAAAATATCTCCCTAGTGTTCAGTTGAGGACTGTGTGCCCTGTGGTGGTAGAAGATCCCAACCCTCACCATGCATTCAAATCTCCTGGGACCTTTATGAAAAAATGCAGGTGACAGGACCCACCCCAGGATAAATGGATCCGAATCTGGGCTGGGCAGGGAGAGGGGGTAAGTCTGGATGTTTTAATGTGTAGTCAGCGTTGAGAATCCTTGACTTGTGGCAATCTCAATGAATTTCTGCTGGTTTTGGCCTAAATATGTTGGCTATGTCGCTTTTCAGGATAGCATTGGGCAACTGGAGAATGACCTGAGGAACACCAAGAGTGAGATGGCACGCCACCTTCGGGAATACCAGGACTTACTCAATGTCAAAATGGCTCTTGACATTGAGATAGCAGCTTACAGGTACTTCAGAGAGCGTGCTCACCCAAGCAAATGCAGTGATCTGGGCCAGCGGTCCCCAAATAAGTGGCTCTAGTCTTTCCTATCTCCTCTGGGTGGGGGAGGGTGGGGAAAGATATCACTGATTTTAAAGAAAGGGTAATAGAAGCTATTAGTTACCAGAAACAAGGTATTAGGGCCACTGTTTTGTGATGCCATGTAGGCCGGGATCGGAAACGGGTTCTCTCACTGGTCTTTGATATTGCTGGTTCCACTCCGTTTATACTCCTGTACATTGAAAAAGTGCAGATCTCAAGTTCAGGCGGAATTAGGCAGTTCTTTCCTCCTCTGTGGACTTCTTACTTCCTTACTCCTATTGCGCATATGAAGTTAATTAGCAAAATTACTTTTCTCTAGAGCTTTGTAGACTCTTAAGTGCCAAAACTGGGTGTGATGAGGCCAAGGGGATTTGTAGGTTTTTCCTTTGTTAATATGTTAGTGAACAGGCTAGGTCTCCCTTTGACAGCGCTGTAAACGCAGCTGGTGCGGAAGGTGCGTGTGGTGTGTGCGTGATGTTTGAGGGAGGGTGCTTGCCTGCGCTGCATAACTCCAAGTCTTTGAGCCTTGGAGTTCAATATTTATCAGTCTCAATCTCATGAATAAACTACAAAGTCTTATAGAATGTTTTTAAAACAAATAGGAGCTGTAGGGTTAAGGGTGGTGGTTGTTTTTTTAAGTTGCAAATTGGCCTCCTGAGATTTTTCTCTGTTTGATTCACAGGAAACTGCTGGAAGGAGAAGAGACACGTTTTAGCACCAGTGGATCAAGCATTTTAGGGCTGAATCCACTTCCCAATCCAAGTTACCTGCTCCCACCTAAAATCCACAGTTCTGCAACCTCCAAAGTCTCATCCGCTGGGCTGTCTCCTAAGAAAGAGGAGGAGGCAGAGGAGGAGCCTTCTAAGGTAGCCTCTAAGAAAACCTCCCACATAGGGGAAAGCTTTGAAGAAATACTGGAGGAGACAGTAATATCCACTAAGAAAACCGAGAAGTCAAATACAGAAGAAAGCACCATTTCAAGCAAAAAAATATAATTCTGTTGCTTAAAAAAGAGTTAATGCTTAAGAGGGGATAATATGCATTTGACTTGTTAAACAGCCTATTCCTGAACCAAAACACCTTTCACCACTATAAAACGTCTTCAAGGCTTCAGTCTCATATTTAGCATTCATTGAATACCTACTTTCTCTAATAAGAAAACCATCCCTTAGATTGGAGCAAACTGCAGGCCTAGAGCCATCACAGAGGAGTTACCTAGGAACACAGCTTTCTCACCTAAAGCTCGGGCTTTACAGTGAGAGATGATTCAGGTACAGAGGAAGTGCAAACTAAGGTGCTAAATCTGTGATCATCACTTGCTGTGGATTAAAATTAAAACCTGTTTCACTCACTATAACCAGCCATTGCCCAGCTATATAATCTCACTCTAGATACCTAAACTATAAGATCACTGCCAAAGATAAACTAATGGTCCACACCCGACCACTCTAATAGAACCATTTCACAGATGATAGATGTTTGTTTGACGGACACTTTTCCTCCCACCGGCCTCAATTCCATATATCTTTTTCTGCCATTCAGGAAAAAAAAAAAAAAACTAGTGTAGTATTTTTCCCTTTTAAACTTAACATTTAGGTTATTCTCAAAAGAACTTAACCGCCTTTAGCTCTGTTTGCTGAATGGGTAAAATAAGATGCATGTTGACCATTTCTCTGATTCATGTAATGACTTCACCCTGCCCGTTTCATAGCCTTTCAATTCTGTAGGTTGAAATAAAAATGGCAGTGATAAGTTTTAAGGGTTGCCTCCAACAAATAAAATAATGAAGACTGTAGATTTTAGGCTTTTCGGCTTAACAAATCCATTTAATTGGGGGGAGGGGCGGGGTCTACTCAATTAAGAATGTAGCTTTTCACCTTAATGTTAGAAACACAGTAATAGTTATCCCAAGCTGTGATTAAGCTGACCTTAGATTTAGTAATATAAGATAGAAGAGGTGAGTATTTGTATGAATGGAAAAAGTGAAGGTCTCATTGATCTGTGTCGGTTTGTTTATGATGATATAGAATTAGTTGTTTCCTTAGAATCCAAATATTCCCCTTCCCCCTAGTCTAGGTCCTAAACAGGCCCCATTTCCACTCTCCTATGCCTTTTAAGAGTGCTAAGTGCAGACTATGTTATCACCAGGACACAGTGCTACTGCCCCAAAGCAAAAGAAGTCACTGGTCAGTCACCGCCACCAGCAAATACAAAAAAGAAATCTCTCTTTTCTAAAAGAGTCTTGCCCAACAGTTTTCCCATGGCTGCAGGACTGGCGGGCTCTCCCCTGCTGGAGGGGAAGAGACACCCGGCCCAGAGAAGGCGCGCACATGCTCCTACTCACGGGCTAGGAAGCAGATTCTGGAGCATCGACTTCTCACCTGCCCAACTGTAGCCGCTGCATTGCCCAGTCTTCCACGTGTGCCAAGTTCGATGCAGGATTCATTCTCTGCCAGCAGTCCCTTCACCAGAGCTAAAGAGTTGCCATGTCTCTGTCACCCTCTCCCATTAAGAGCTCTGCAGTGATAAGGACATGATGCTTTTACTGAACTTTCCTATCCTAGCACATGCTTCCATAGTTCAAGGAACTCGAAAAATACTTTTCTTCCTTTCCCTTACTCCATCCCTGTCTTTACTCCCCACACTTACTGTAAAACGTTAGTAAAGTAAGAATTAAAAGTCACATGAATCCCACCAACATAACTTGTGTTCTGTGCTTTCCGCGGCTTCAACTGAGTAAAGCATTGTTTTGGTTCAGTGAGACAACTGCTCCCTTCGAATAATTCAAAAATCGTATGTTCTCTGTTCCATGCATCCACATTGTGTGTGTGTGTGTGTGTGTGTGTGTGTGTGTGTGTGTGTCGCCAAAGTCTTGGGGCTGTAGTCTGCATTTGTTTCAGACTGTCTGATCTGGTACACATAATGCACTAAATTCATGGCAGAGAGTGGGGAAATCAAATGAAATGATGAAAGACACTGCGTTCTGTGCCCGGATAATGATTTAACTAGCTTAACTTGGTGAATATTTCTGAGACTAAACTGGCAGAACACACATGATTCAAAGTCCTTCAAAACAATAAGTCTTCCTTCCTTGCAAATGGGGTTATACTTCTGCAGAACCCAGATATTTAGGTAGAACATTTGGGCAGCAGTAATAGAATTTTCCTCTACTGTAATGATTCTTAACCTATTTGGGATTGTAGACCTCTTGGAGAAAGTTATGAACCCTTTCCCAGAAAAAAAATACACAGGCAAAGCTTTGTACAGATCAAGCAGCTTGTGACTCCTCTAGGACTATCTACTTCTGGTGTCCAGAAGTCGAGATTTCCTAATGCCACGCCAGGTTCTAGGATGGAGACTGCAAATGAGGGGATATGTGAATGCAACTCACAGCTGATGCTGGTGGCGGAAGCCGAAGCTTGCTGAATCCTGAACAATACTGTCACTCCCAGTCCGTCTGGCTAAGGTACTTGTAGGCCACTCAAAGATACATCAATGGTACTTCTCACGAAGACAGATCTGTTAGTTGTGCACTAAGAATGAGAGTTTTATAGCAATCAAAACACCTTTTAGGGCTTGTTAAGGAACAGTGCTCATCAATACATGGGTTTGCAATATAGGCATTGGTTGCTGCTTCCAAGAATACTTTTTAGTTAATGAATCCATCTCTATGCCAAACCAGAGTCCTTTGATTACATATAATCTATGGCTCTGACTAATTTGTGTCTCCTATTTTTTAAAAAAATATATGTCTTTATTGATTTCAGAGAGAGGAAGGGAGAGGGGGAGAGAGAGAGGAACAACGATGATGAGAGAGTCATCATTGATCGGCTGCCTCCTGCATGCCTCCTACTGGAAACCGAGCCCGCGACCCCGGCATGTGCCCTGACCGGGAATCGAACCTCGATCTCTTGGATCCTAGGTCGATGCTCCACTGCTGAGCCATGCCCAGCCAGGCTGTGTCTCCTGTTTTCAATGAATCACCAGTAATTGTCATGAGCCCATTTATAAAAGAAAGACATTAAAAGCATCTTATGGAGTTGATCAATTATTAAATCAGAACAATTACAGTAACAGGGACACATGAGGCAGGGAGAAGGGAAGGAACGCAGGCAATACCAACTGTTTCGACAGGACAAGGTGAGCCTATGAGATTATGAGGAAGCCTGTCTGCAAGCACATTAATGATATCCAAACACGACTTTCAGATTCATTAGATAATGAGGTCCCCTGTATCCTGAGACTTACTAATTTATAAGCTATAATTACAGCTATAATTTATTCAGTACCTACTTATTACAAGCAGACACTGTCCGAGGCGGTGAACATAAAATTATCTCATTGAAACCTCACAACCACTCTTTAAGTGTAGTATTTGTATACCCATTTTACAAATGAAGGAACAGAGCCCTGGAACGACAAGGTTAAGATCCTTGTCTGATATCACACAGTTAAGGAACAAAGCTGGGATTCGAATCTTGGTCTTCTGACTGAAGTGCTTGCTTTTCTTATGTAAAAGAAAGTCCCCTCACTTGAGGGAATAGAAATATTTTTAGCTTTTTTCACCCTCTCCCACCAGGTTTCACTTAAAGTTTCTCAGCCTCAGAAACCCGTGGCAACACTAAGTCCTACAGGCAAACTGCTGCGCTCTGTAGACTTCCTGAGCCCACTGCCTTCCTGCGTTGCAGTGAGGTGGTGGTGGCTCCAAACTGGGCTCTGGGCCCATTCAACCATGAGTCATCTCTGCTTCTGCTAAAAAGATAGAATTGGGTGCTATTTAGCTTTTTTTTTTTAAGTTTAAAAAAATGATTTTGCAAGAAATTCTGTAGCTCATTATCAAAGGGCCTAGAATGGACAATTCCTCAAGAGGTAATAAATCCAGGATACATGGAATTCACTTTACTGGCAAAATTTGAACAATTGTCTGGAAACTAGATTCTAAATTTTAGATCCAGAGATAATGCAAGTCATGTATAGTCCTGGGGATAAGCTTCTAGAACTTACCTGTGAACACAAACAGGGAGCCCAGTCCCTGGCTCTAAAGGCAAACATGAAACCATATTTAAAAATCCACTGAAACTGAAAGCAGATGGGCAGTTGCCAGGGCTGAAAGGGGAAAATGGGGTTTACTATTCAGTGGGTAGGGGGTTTTATTTTGGGGTGATGGAAATGTTTTTGAACTAGATAGAGATGGTAGCTGCACAAAATTGTGGGTGCACTAAATGCCACTGAATTGTTCACTTTTCATTGATTAATATTGTCATGTAAATCTCGCCTCAATTTTAAAAATCCATTGATAGAGAATTTATGGAACCATCAGAGAAATATAATTACAAAGTCTGCTCTACCTCTGCTCCAGCTGAGACCACTATGCACAGCCACCCCGGGTCAATTGAAGTTAGAAAGAATTCCATTAGGACAACAGAAGCCAGATCTAATCAGCATATTGATTTCAAAAGAGAGCCTGGAGAAAAAGTCCAAAATCTCCTTGAGCATAAATGAAAGAAAAAAAATAACTAGGAATGTTGCTTGCTATGAGCATCCATCACTGATTTCCAACGAATATTATTTTTATTATTATATCATCAGAAATCTCTAAGGTCCTGAAAAACATCTAAATCATAAGAGTGCTTTTTTTTTTCTCTTCTTAGAACCAAATAAATTGGTGTAACTGAAAGCAAAGCAATTTAAAATGGAAATAACGGAGGGGGCTTTGTAGGATCTTAAAATAGAGCTCAGCCTGGCAGGAATGGTCAGTTGGTGGAGTGTCATCCTGTGCACTGAAAGGTTGCTGGTTCAGTTCCCAGTGAGGGCACTTACCTGGGTTGCAGGTTAGGTCCTGGGTTGGGGCATATACAGAAGGCACCTGATGGGTGTTTCCCTCTCACATTGATGTTTCTCTCTCTCAGCATGTCCTCAGGTGAGGAAAAAAAAATCAAACTCATACGTGAAATTGTATTTTTCTTTATAGAATATACATTACTGGCTTTGCTGATGTTCAAATTCAATGTACAGGTTAGATCAGTGATTTTCAACCTTTTTCACCTCCTGGCACATAAACTAATTACTAAAATTCTGCAGCACACCAAAAATAAATTTTTTGCTGCTCTGAAAAAAAAAAGGTATAATTTTGATTTACTCACACCCGATGGCTATTGTTGTGTTGGCTGTTGTCATTTTTTTTATTTGACAATCTAAGAAAATAGAGGGCAGTGCCCCTGACTAAATAACCAGGTATTACATGTTTTAAAAATTCTTGCAACTAGCCAGTTGAAAATTGCTGGGTTAGATTAATGTCATTATGCCTTTTGCTATTTTCGATATCTCACATTGATTTGCCATTTGCAAATGGGTAAGTGCTCCTGAAACAAAGGATTGTGTTTATTACCTGACCGCGTCCCCCTTAAAGGGTAAAAAGAATGGTTACTATGTAGATCAAAGGACTTCTCTACTCTTCCATCGATCTCCTAGAAGGTGATTAGATCGCCCTCATGTTTTATGCTGATATTGCACAAGCTTACTAGGTAAGGGTGGGGACTAGCTTAAATTTATAAATTATTTCTTACAGTCCCTTGAAACACACCCACACCCACACACACACACACAACACACCCCACCACCAGGATTGTAATAAAACAGAATAAGTCATACTGCGGACATTTAAAGATTTATGTTTTTACAGTGCTTCAGTAATTCTGGATAAAGCAAAATAGAGAAAGCCCAGGCTACAAAGAAAAATGAAGACTGATCTTGGAGGAGTCTCCAGGCTCCCTTCCTCACTGATTGATTACTGCAGATCACCACATGGCTCCCCTGCTCCCCTGCTGAGGCAAGTGGTCTCTGCTCTGTGTAATTCTGAGACATTTCATCCTAGCTCTATCACATGCTCTTAGAGGTTACAGAATGCTCAGCAGAGTGTAACCAAAGTCATTAGTATAAGCTCGGGAGTTTGGGAAAACAATCAGTAGCAGATTCTAGTCCATTGCTGATTATTGCAGAGGGCAAAAAAGCATTTTTCCTTAGAAGTGCTTATTAAAAAAATTTAACTCACTAAGGTTCATCATTATGCCATAAATATGAATAAATGAGAGGTGTAACTTTATCTCCCATGATTTCCTGGCATAAGGATTCACACATAGCATATAGAATTCCTGGTGTCCTTTAGGGCTAGACAACTTTTTTTTTTTAATATATTTTATTGATTTTAGAGAGAGGAAGAGAGCGAGATAGAAATGGCAATAGTGAGCCATTGATCGTCTGCCTCCTGCACGCCCCCTGCTGGGGACTGAGCCCGAAACTGGGCATGTGCCCTGATCAGAAATTGAACTGTGGTCCCCTGGATCATAGGTCAATGCTCAACCACTGAGCCACGCCAGCCGGCTAGACAATCTTTCATCTTTACCTTAAGCCATACTTGAGCTCAACAGAAGAAACTCCTTTCTGGCAACTGAAACTGTCTTCGTACCAACCCAGTCTGCAAAGTAGAAGCAGCATTTCAAGGTTAGAATTGGGGTGAAAGCAGAATCTAGGTCCTACTTCAGAGCCTGTATCCCCACCTTCCTCCTGGTTATCCGTAGAAGGAGGTGAAGAAAGAAAACATGTAAGAAAGAAAGGAAAAAATAGGTAGTTCAACGTCAATCTTTTAATATTAATGGACCCCCTTTATTCATTAAAAAGGAACTACCTCAGTAAAGTAATCTAAAAGTTGACTACATAGGGACCATATTTGAACTTGATAACAGAATATATGCCAGCCACTATTCTAAGTGTTTACATATTCACTAATTCTCATTACAAGCCTTTGAGTTAGGTACCATTGTCCCCATTTACAGGTAAGAAAAACTAAAGTTCAGAGAAGTTACATAACATGTCCAAGATTATATAGCTTTCAAGCAGCGAAGCTGGAAGTCAAAGCTATCAGTTTGGCTTCACAATTCATATCCCTAATCACTATATGGCACTGCCTCTACGTCTTTTTTGGGGGGACAATTTTGTTCATGGCAACCTTTGTCTTCTCCATATTATTCAACCAGCTTTTCTCTTGGGAAAGTATCTTAGAAACATTAGAAAAAAGTATTTTCTCACTTATATGAAAATAGTATCATACTAAGAACACTTGTAAAAACCACAGACACCATCAGAACAAATTGAAATGCAGTCAAGATCAAACCATAATATCCATTTGATGGAAGCACTTGGCAAGCTTTCAGGAGATCAATATGGCATTTCATTTTTTGAGTGGACTATGAATCTCTAGAGGCAATACAATTTAGATTTCATCAGTTCAATCTTGAAGAGAGGCCAGTAATCAAACTCATGTACACGACACATTGAAAAAGGGTAACAGTGAGAACCTATTCTTTGGTCATGGTCTACTGAAAAAACAAAGATGAACATTCAGAATCATTATCTGCTTGAAACTTCTCTGTAACCAGGGTTTTCCAAGATGAGAAAATATACCATGGAGGTTGCAACTATTAGGACTTTAAAGGGAAAAAAAATTAGTCACACATCTCACAAGCAATGATGACCTGGTGATCCTACAGCAGCAGTATTCATCTAGGTTTGAATCACAAAGTATGTACTTTGGGCAAGCTGAATAGGACAAGAAATGGGTCAGAGGCTTTACTCCCAAGAATTCAAAGACAAAGTCACCGTAGGAGAGTCACTGTGTGAGTGTGTGCAAGGCCTGTTAGCTTGGAATCCAGAGGGGAAATTGTCAGAGACTAGGTAAGAATACATCTGACTTGATCAAGAGGGAAGTGACTTGGGCCTATGCTAGAGAGAAAAGGTTGGGATGACGTTTAAAGGAACTGAAAAACCTGCCACCCATGAATTTTGCCAAACTACCACTGCCACAAACTATCCATCTGGGCATCTTGGTCTAGTATGACCTTGGCGAGGGCTGACGAGGAACCCGAGACCTGCAAGCTGTGCCGGTCAAACCTCTCTTTAACCATTGATGTTAGCTCTGAAAACTGCACTTCATATACTCTTAGTTGTGCAGATTTGGGGATTTAGTTTTGTTTCTGCTTATGTTCCGAGTAAAAATTCCTTTTGAAAAAACTTTGATCTTATCTCAACGACAGTAAATGTATATGCGGCGGCAGCAAGGTTGACCCAAGGCCAGGCAGGGCATTTGTTTGTTCTTGCTTGTGCTTTCCCTCACCCAGGTCTTTGTCCCTCTGGTAATTTAAGACAGTTGCCAAGTACCGCATCCTCACTCCTAAGTTTTCATTTCTCCGTTAACCAGAAGCAATTGCGCAACCCTTGCTGGTTTTTGGTTCCCGGTCTCTCTGACTGCTCCCTATCCCATTACTCTCCCATCTGCGAGTACCTTTGAAATATGCTCCCCAGTACTGGACACATGAGTCACTGGAGATGAGAAGTATTAAGTGCCTTGATCTGAAACTGTATTTCTGCTGATATAGTCCAGGATCATATTGATTTGGGGGTACGGATTTGTAAACCAATTAATTAGCTTTCTTACTTAGTTCACTGCCTGGTAGTAACAACAGGCCAGATACAACCAGATATAACTTAGTTGAGGTTCTTGGAAGTCAAGTCCAGGATGGAGGGGAAAAAATAGGTAGAATTTTTTGTGACAGAGTATTTACCAGTACTTGCCTTTAATTAAGATTCTGAGAGATGTATGTAACCCGAAGGCTGTGGTTTCCTTGAAAACTCTCCTTTATTTTTAATCTTGTCCACACGTCTAACAAGTGATACATTCTTTTGGCTCGCAGAAACGTTTATTAAAGAATTACATTTAGTATGCTACTTAAAAATAAGTATTTTCCCCATTTATTGTAATTTGTATGTTCTGAGCCCTTGGAATGTCTTGCCTTTGTATGCCAGAGGCCTTGGGCCACACCAGAAAGTTTATGCTAACAATGTGATTATGGTGAATGCACTTTCTTATACCTAGGGCCTCAGGACATGCTGTACCAGTTTGACCACTGGGTAAGTGCTGGGGTCACAATGGTTGAGTCAGTCACATGGGCACACAGTGACTCCCAGTAAAAACCCTGGACACTAAGGTCCAGGTGAACTTCCTTGATTGGCAACCTGTCACATACCACTGCTGGGAGAATTAAGCACTGTCCCTGCATCTTCACTGGGAGAGGACAACTAGAAGCTTGCACCTGGTTTCTCCTAGACGCTGTCCTATACACCTTTTCCATTTGCTGACTTTGACCTATATCCTCTCACTGTAATAGACTATAAATATAATAGTTTTTCTGGGTCCCATGAGTCCTTCTAGTGAACCACTGAATCTGAGGGTGGTCTTGGGGAATCTCTGACACACATATGTTAACATGGGGCAAGAATAAAAATATTAATTTGTGCAAAAAACATTTAAGGGGCAATGAATTCCATAGATGCTATTTTGCCCATTGTCAAATAACTACAAACAGTATAATTAGTTGAGGTAAAGATGTTTATAAATATCTACTTGACAGAAAAGTTTAACTTTGATTTAATACGTCATCTCTTAAAAGAGCTTTGGTTATTTTTATTTATTTATTTTTGTTGACAAGTATTACAGATGTCCCCTAATCTCCCCATTTTTAAAAAAATCCACAATAAAAAAAAATCCACCAATAAGCATAAACATTTCAAAATACGTTAAAATAAATTTTTATTTAAACATTTTTATTAAATGTTAGAAGAGATTTATCACAATTAACAAATCCTTTATAAAACAATTGCTAATCTTTACCCAATTGTAATGGTTTCTATGCAGAACTGGAAATTTTGTAGTGAAACAGGATCTATAAAACAGTTCTTTTAGAAAACTACCAAAAAGCTACTGTTAGGCAAAATAATGTTTAAAACTGAAATCTCTGTATGCAAGTGAGTGAGGTCTCAAACACCCGTATTCTTTATCCCAGTGACAAAGTAATGGAAAAATGAACATTAAACTGACTTACTGAGGAAACAATAAGTATTCTGTAAACTTCTCAAATATTTTATTACTTCCAGAAGCAGCATCATTACAAGGTTATCGATAATCATACTATGTACTCAAATAAAACGAATGTTAATCAAATGAACTTTCTAGGAATAAAAATACTGTTGCAAAGAGGCACCCCTTGTTGTAAGATATGTTAAGGAAGTCTTTATTACACTGAAGGCTTATGGTATGGGCCATAAACCATATAGGAGAGTCTCTTCATAGAGAATAGTAACATCCCTTTTAGAAGTGAATGACATCTCTTTAGTAGTGCTGCTGGTTAAAAAAAATAAAATAAAAAAATTTAAAGTTCAAAATACAATGGCAATACACAAAAGTGGCCGACAGTTCTGGTCTTTGTCTGAGGGGTACGGTCTGTATAGTTTAACAAAGACTGGTTTTGAACCTTCATTTTAAAAGCATACTTCTTTCCTGCCCAACTGATACCATTCCAGAGAGCAGAATCCAAACCACCAACTTAAAAGGGATATGGCTCAGTGAAGAAAAGAGTAACCGATTTACACCAAAGATTAGAAAGCAAAATCAATTATCAAAGTATTTGAAATGACAAGGAATTTAAAAATTCAATACTTTGAAATTTTTCCCCTGAGCTACATATGGATGCTTTTTATATATAGTTGCTAGTAAAACAGATGCATTCCATCATTCCAAGTTGTACTTATGAATATTATGATGATTGGTGCTGAAAACAGATGTTATGTCTTAGCAATTACGTTTCGTGAAAATCTTTGGTGAGACGCAATCCTGCAGAAGCCATCTTATTTTGTTTCCCTCCTCCCTCCTGATACTCTTAGGATCTTCAAGTAATTTTCAGAGGAGAAACCACAAGACCATAATGAAGGACCAGAAGACCATCCTGAAAAGAAAAGAAAAAAAGTATTTTGCAGTTATTTGAAAACTAGTTATATAAATAATCAAGTCAAAGATGGGTTTGTTTTCCATAACCCAACACTAATGTGAAATTCTTTAAGAGAATGAAGGGTCCAAGGTAAATAAACCTGCTTAGTCACTCACCTCGCCACCAAACACTCCCTGTCAATGTGCCTTTTAATAACTCTCAGAAGACAATTCTGAAACTACCAGGTATCCAGTTACCCTGGGTTGTTTGTGGCTATATAGTTCTCCAAAAAGAACTAAAGAGATACACCTTTCCTTCTACAGAAACTACTTAACAGACCATTCAGGCATTGGGCTTCCCTAAAAAAAAAGACTCAATTATTATAAGCAGCATGGATCTGTTTAGAAACGAAATACTTATTTCCACATAAATGCAGCTCACTATTATAAGTGAGAAAACTTTGGAATTCTTACCCACTAAATATATCATATATTTTACTTCCTCCTAAAATACCGTTCAGTACAATTTAACTTTTGATTTCCAGAGTCATCAACATGAACAGTAACTATACTGTGTGGTAATGTCAGGGGGTGTCCGATGTCCTCAGTCAGGGGGTGTTGGGCAACTTAACCCTATACTAAATGACTCCACATTCTGAGCTTCAGAGCCTTTTTATCTGTTTTTTTGGAAGGTCTATCTCCTATCTTGATACTAGGTCTTAATTCTTTGCGCTCTCACAGAGGCTGCATCCGGCAAGCAATCCACCTTTTTTAGGTACTATTTTCTAATCTATTATGAAACTAGCTTTTAAAATAAAAGACTCTTTGGGAAAGTGTGCCACGAGCAATTGGCCTACTTTGAGGAACAAAGAGGAGGAGTGGCAGCATGCACGCCTTGCATTTCCAATCCTGCTCTAGCCATTACTCTTTTTCTTCTTTGCTAAGCTTTTCCATGGCTCTACTTCCTTATTTCTTATTCACTGCTCAACTCACGGCAATCTGGCTTCTGTTCCTGGCAACGCTAATGAAAACTCACCAGAATTCTAGAAAATGGTTCACAAATTCAAATGCCCACAAGTAACAAACGAACATGTGATTTAGGGATGTAAGTCAATAAGGAATGTTGAGACCAGCAGTAAACCAGAGAACACATGCCTAGTTAAAGGAATTTAAACTCAAATAATTTAAAACACAGAATAAGCCAAATAAAGCATAATTCCATACCATGTTTGGCCCATGGACCATCAGATCTGCTCTAGACCAATTAGCCTAATCAAAGTAAATGAATTTGTATTATAACACAAATAGAAGGATTCTATTAACATTTTTACATGAATACAAATTACATTTTAGATAATGATTTTTGCATATAGTTATATTTCAGAAAGGGAAACATTTGTAAAACATATCAATATATAGATATAAAACTGAAAGTATAGCTTACAAGCTGTTTCAAAACCACAAAACTTCAATACACTTATAAAACCACATTTTATTGGATAATTACTTACAATTCAAATTTATATATCTATTATATTTAAGTTCCATATAAGTGTATATGAACATATAAATATTATTTATATTTTATATTTTGATGTCTCCATTCATGGTCTTTTTAAACTATAAACTAGAGTGAGTCTTCTAAAACATAAGTCCGATTATGTCACTTTTATCCTTGGCTCAGATATCTCCAATCAATAGTTTCCTACCTAACTCAGTTAAAATCCAAAGTTCATGCTATGGCCAATAAAGTCCTATATAGTTTTATTCTGACTGCCCAGATCTCAGCTCCTTCCATTCTCTCTTGATAGGTTAAACAGGGTGACAATATGACCCAGCAATTCTAAGTGTACACCAAAGAGAGAAACATGTCCACAAACACTTGTAGATCACTGTTCACAGCAACACTATTCATATTAGCCCCCAAATGGAAACGACCCAAAGATCCATCAACTGATAAATGATTAAATAAAATATCAATATCTATATATGTGTGTTACATGCTGTTGAGTTGGCTCCAACTCCTGGCGACCCTATGAATGAGTTATGTCCACAAATGTCCTGTCCTTGACAGCCCTGCTCAGCTCTATAGTCTCATGCCTATGGCTTCTTTTATGGAGTCAATCCATCTCATATTTGGTCTTCCTCTTTTCCTTCTGCCTTCTATTTTTCCCAGCATTATTGTCTTTTCCAAAGAACTTTGCCTTCTCATGACGGGCCTGAAGTAAGATAGCTTCGGTTTTGTCATTTTTGCCTCCAGTGATGTTTCAGGCTTAATTTGCTCTTGGGCCCACTTGTTGTCTTTCTGACAGTCCAGGGTATCTGTAGAACTCTTCTTCAACACCATTTCAAATGAATCAATTTTTTTCCTATCAGCCTTCCTCACTGTCCAACTTTCACATCTACACGTGGTTAATTGGGAATACGAAAGTATAGGTGACCTTAGCCTTGGACTCTAAGTGACATATTTTTGCTTTAGTGATCTTTCCTAATTCTTCCATTGCTGCCCTTCTGAGTTTCAACCTTCTCTTAAATACTGAATTTCCATATAATGGAATATTATTCAGCAATGAGAAGGAACAAAGTACTGATACATGCTAAAACATGAAGCTTGAAAACACGCTAAGTAAAAGCAGCTAGTCACAAAAGACCACATATTGTATGATTCCATTTATATGAAATGTCCTGGATAGATAAATCCAGAGGTGAAAAGTAGAGTAGTGGTTGACAAAGGTTGGAGGATGGATACTATGGGTATGGAGTTTCTTGTTTGGGTGATAAAAATGTTCTAAAACTGATTGGGTGATAGCTTTGCAACTCTGTAAATATACTAAAAATGATTGAAGTGTATACTTCAAATGAGTAAGTCGAATGGCATATCTCAATAAATCTGTTACTAAAAAAAAAGAACTTTCTGAGTGTGGCAGGAGTGTTCCAAATCTCAAGAAAGGGTCTGAGTTAAAACAGGTATATGTCTTTGTCAAAACACATTTCATTGTATGCCATTAAAATATATGCAGGGGTGGGCAAAAGCAGGTTTATAAAAATTCTTCCAAAGTGTGCTCAAGTATAGCAAGTAGACGACAAGAATGTGTAAATAATGAAGGCCAGTAATTTGAGCACTTACGAGATTGCACCTAAGTGCACTGTGCCACTGTGACATACAAACAACTGTAAACCTACTTTCGGCCACCCCTGTGTGTATGCACATAAGAGTGTGTGTATTCATTCTGCTTTTTCCAAGCAATTGTAAAATCCATACTAAGAAGATAATTCTTAGAATATTCTGCATCTTTTTTTTTTTAAAGTATTTTTATTGATTTTTAGAGAGAAAGGAAGGGAGGAGAGAAACAAAGAATATCGATCAGCTGCCTCCTGCACGCCCCCTCCTGGAGACTGAGCCCTCAACCTGGGCATGTGCCCTGACTGGAATCGAACTGGCAGCCTCTTGCATGCCCCTACTGGGAATCAAGCTCGAAACTGGGACTGGGAATCAAACCATGACCTCCTGGTTCATAGGTTGACGCTCAACTGCTGAGCCACACAGGCTGGGCCATACAGCTCTTAAAACAATTTATCACTCTAGGTGATTCATTAGAATATGTGGATTCCCTGTTAGGGCGCATGCCTGGGTGGCTGCTTGACCCCCAGTGGGAGGCATGTGGGAGGCAGCTGATCAATTACTATCTCATCATTGATATTTCTGTCTCTCCCTCTCCCTTCCTCTCTCTGAAATCAATAAAAACATATTTAAAAAAATAAAATAAAATAAAATGGGGGATAATTGCTCATTGGTGTGGCTCAGTGGTTGAATGTCGACCCATGCACCAAGAGGTCCCTGGTTTGATGCCCAGGATGCAGGAGCGATCCCCAGCAGGGGACACACAGGAGGCGGCCAATCGATGTTGATGTTTCTCTCTCATAGATGTTTCTCTCTCTCTGCCTCTCCCTTCCTTCTTCTCTAAAATCAATTAAAAATATATATATATTTAAAAAATAATAAAATAAAATGGGGGATAACTAAATAACTATGTTGTACACCTGAAAATAATGTATATATCACCTATATTTTAATTAAAAAAAAATGAGGGATAAAAGAATACCTATGTCATAGAATTATGAGAAATAAAAGAGCTAATCCATATAAACCATTTAGAAAAGTACCTAACACATAGTTAGCATTCAATAAATATTAGCTTTATTACTTAAAGTCCAGGTAATTTTAAGAAAGTTGTAGAATAATTATTAAAATTTTATTGATAACATGGCACTTTTTTCTCTCATCAAATAACTTGCCTGTTAGACACTAAATATGATTAAGTCTAAGACTTACCTGCATTGCTGCATCACCTATTGCACGTCGAATTTCCCTTAGAGTTTGATACCGCTCCAACAAGTGATCGCCACAGATGATATCTACCTATAGGGAAACCAAGTATTAGATGCTTTACCACTTCAAAACCATATGAAAAAAATGAAGAGAAATCAACATAATTATTTCCAGAGGACATTTTGCTGTTTTATTTTAGACTGATTAAATTTTTATGAAAGATTTTAGAAACTTTTTACAAGAATAAATAAAGTAAAATGGAAAGAGCATTAGAGGACATCGCAGGACAAGAGCAGTTACAGCCAATATTCAAAATGATTTCTTTGAATCTCTGAGAACAAGTTAAATCACATTTGATATATTTAGCATAAAAAGGTACAGAAAGTATATTTTCAAAAAGTTCCAAGTGAAAATGATTAAAAGGGTATTAATGCTTAAAAAGGCAATCCTTATTTATTTGAATAATTCTCTTACAAGGTATATCTCATTTTCCAACAGTAGAAAGTCTAACAGTGACATAAAGTACATACTAAGGGAACTGTTTTATGGATGGAATAATCTTATCAAGGTCTTTTCAGCCCTTTAGTAATGTCAAAGCTCTAAGATAAATCTACTTCTATATACAATGCTCTAGAAAGAATGATATTGTTATACAGTTATACAGTATAAGGTATTACGGTTCCAGTATACTTACTTGCTTAGAAAAGCAAATTTTTAATCTATCTCTCTTTTACTGAGTGATTAATGTGACACATATTTTCTAAATCTCACTTCATAAAAACAAAATAAGGTCTGAAGATCAATGTACCAAAGAACACAACACAAGAGTAACAATAAAACAAAATACATTAAGATATCAATGAGCTCAAAACACCACTAAATCAACCAGGGTAATCCACAGGCACTTGGGTCTCTATGTGAAAAAAATTTACTCAGATAATTACTGATTTCTGATTCTGAATTAACTTAAATCTCTTTTAAGAACACATGAGCTGTACTTTTTATCTTTCAGCACTGTGTTCCTTTTTTATTTTGATCTGCCACCAATAACTTTAAAGGTAGTTCATCATTTAACAGTCCTCTGGTAATCATTCATTCCTGCTAGTAAATAACCATATATGAAGGTCGCATGTCTGTAAATAAAACACACATTTCCTACCTGGAATGAACTGGTTTAAAGAAGGTCAGCACAGCAGGCTCAAGTGACTGGGTTCACCAAGAATTTTACTTTTGATTAATGGTTAACTAGTTTGATGTTTTGCTCAAAACAGAAGTAACTCTTTTTACTTTCTCTTGTATTTAGAAGGTTTAATAATTTTAGACACAAATTAATAGGTCTGCACAGCTGATAATTCTCTGTTCCATTATTTTAATATTTTGGTGAAATAGTCATTTATCAATGTTATCAGCTATACAGTATCTGAATAGAAAAGAAATATTTACCTAAAGAACTAAGAGATGACAAAGAAAATTAAGGATTGAAACAAATTTTTTATAATTTTATTTCAAAATGCTGAAAGCCTTGAATTCTATGATATGAGGAAATAAATAAACCCACATTTTTACACTATATAACCAATTTAGAGCTCTGGCAACCAAAGTTCTTAAAACACCAAATGTGAAACTTATAAATGGTAATTGTTCTCTGATCAATATCTAGCCAGAGTACATAATCTATATCCTAGAAAAAACCCTTTTGGGTGCTACGTTAGTTATTCTATAAAATCAGGTTCATATCCTATGAATTCTGCTTTTAGAAACAGTAGACTATTTTCGGACCACTCACGATTCTTTGTCTAGGAGACTCTAAACAGCTATCTATTTCTAACCAAAAGACTAAGAATAACCTCAAATATGTTAAGGCTACAAGGTGATGGATTAGTCATTTCACTTCTCAGATGCCATGAGATACAGCCAGCATTATGTCAAGCTCAGTAAAAGTCACATTTCATTGGATTTACTAGATATTTAATACATATTTAGTACCAGTAGATATTGGTACTAAAAATACCAGCAAAATTTCATCCAGCTTTAAAATAGCTATTTACTAAACAGCAAATAGATATTTTAAATAAAAATTATTCTATGAAATTTTACACACGATGAAGAAAAACAAAAATCCCTTTTAAATTTGACTAATGGAAAAGCAAAACTATATAAATGTGCATTTTCACTGGCCCACATTATTAGACCTTTGAGTATATTTACACTTTATGTTAAAAAATACATGAGGATTCCACCCTTCTCCGCCACCTCCACCTAGCCATGGCAGGGAGAGGAGACAGTGATGATAGCAGCAGCACTCTAGGCATGGTGAAAGCCTGGCACCAAGCCATCTGGCTTTTTTAAATTTTGCCTTCCTGGAAGACTCAAGATGAGTCTCTTCATTCTCTCTCTATTTGTTTACTTTGGTGTTTGTTTGTTATTAAATCTCAGAGAGAGGTGTATTTAGTGGAAACAAGCTGTACTACTCAGCAAAATCTTGTCAACTGGCAATGTTTACAAGTCTGTTAGCTGCATAAGCTCAATAAAAAGTTGGTCTGGGCATAAAACAAAAACAAAAACAACCACAACAAAAAATTGTGAGGATCGAAGTTTTCACCTTAGAAGAGAATATTATATAGTTAGAACAGCAGATACTTTTAATCCTTAAAGAACAAATAGAGTCTAATATATTAGATAGATATTTCACTTTTCTAGGTGTCTTACAGATGGTCATCAATGGCAGGGAGTAACAAGACAGTAAGTCAAACGTGATTGAAGTTGGGGTGGGAATCACTGTGTACCAATATCAGCTGGCATATACAATATCTATAATACGTAAGACAAAAGCCATTGCATGAAATCCTAGAGACAATTCTTTCTAAAGGTAATCTCACAACTTTACCTTTCCTTTTACACATATGTACTCTACCTGACAAGCTGGATCAAGATCCATTTTTCTTCTGAGAAATTTTTCTACATGCCCAATAGTTGCTTCTCCTGAAACTCTGACAAACTTCTTTTCTAATGGCTATAAGAAATAAACAAACGAATAAATAAATATTTTCAGATTAAATATACATAAAATGTATAAACCCTAAAGCAAATTTTATAGCAAAGATGATTCAACAGATTTATGAAAAATCACTATAAAGTTTTAGTTTAGCCATCAAAGAAAAAAATTTCTCTGCTTAGCTTTCCCTCTCTGAAAAGTATGTTAACAATTTTTAAAATATATATATATTTTATTGATTTCAGAGAGAGGAAGGGAGAGGGAGAGAGAGATAGAAACATCAATGATGAGAGAGAGCCATTGATTGGCTGCCCCCTCCACCCCCCCTGCAGGGAATTGAGCCCACAATCTGGGCATGTGCCCTGATTGGGAATCGAACCTCAGTCTCCTGGATCCTAGGTGGGTGCTCAGCCGCTGAGCCCTGCCTGGCCGAGCTCAAAATTTTTTTTAATCCTTACCCTGAGGATATTTTTTCCACTGCTTTTCAGAGAGAGTGGAAGGGAGAAAGAGAGAGAAAGAGAGAGAGAAACACTGATTGGTTGCTCCTGCATGAGCCCTGACCAGGGCCGAGGATCAAGCCTGCAACCAAGGTACATGCTCTTTGGCCGGAATTGAACCTGGGACCCTTCAGTCCGTGGGCTGACACTCTAACCACTAAACCAAACCGGCCATGGCAATAATATTTTAATAGAAAGGCTTACTGGTTTATTTTACTACCTCATGAACAATAAAACTTAAAGAGTAAAAGTTATCGAAACAAAGAGAATATCCAAAATGAAATGTCTAAAACTTGGTGTCTTCAACAAAAAAATTCTAAGAAAAAAAAAGGTGAAGCCCAGCCGGGCGTGGCTCAGCAGTTGAGCGTCGACCTAGGATCCAGGCGATCAGGGTTCGATTCCCAGTCAGGGCACATGCCCGGTTGCGGGCTCGATCAATGACCCTCTCATCATTGATGTCTCTATCTCTCTCTTTCCCTCTTCTTTCCTCTCTCTGAAATCAATAAAGATATATTAAAAAAAAAAAAGGTGGAGGAGGAACTGCTAGACTGAAAAATGTAAGGACTATAAGAGATGTATCAACCGATTACAATGTATGAGTTTTATTTGGATCCTGACTTAACAATTTTAATGAGAACAATTTTAATTAATTACAACAATATTAATGAGAAAATATAGGAAATTTAAATAGTATATGGATATTTGATTAAGGTTTTACTGTTAATTTTTAAAATTTTAGTGTTACTATTATGTTTGTAAAAAGTCCTTGTCTTTTAGAAATAAACTGAATTATTTGCTGAGTATAGTTTGGGATTTGCTTCAAGATATACAGGAAGAAGAGAAGTGGTGAAGCAGAGATGAAATGAGATTGGCCACGAGTTTATAATTATTTGAGTGATGTGTACATGGGTGTTCATTTCACTATTCTGTCTACTTTTGTATGAGTTTGAAATTTTCTATAATAGAGGGTTTTCTTTTTTAAGTGGAAAATAAAAGGATTAACACCTAGACATATGTGGCTGGAATCTGACCCAATGGCCTGAGGTAACAGGTGGAGAGACCAGTGTTTTAAAGTAGAAACGTGCTTACCCAGCCACTCTTTCTGAGGAAGTTTTAAGGACACTATCTAATGCAAACAAAAATCTGAGGTAATCAGAAATAAAAGGGTATCTCTTAGGAAAACCTGAGCAGTGTTTTCTAGCACTAGGAGAGAGGGAGCCTAGAATGGCTACCAAGAGGATATAGGCAGGTGAGGCACATGTTTTTTCCATATAACAGTGCTCAGTTTTCTTATGTGTAGTTTGATTTCTTAAGACCTTTCATGACAACAGATCGATCCCTTATTACCATAGTGTAGCAGATATTACAGATGTTAAATGCAGGTATTCCAGAGACAGGCTGCCTGTCTGGCTTTAAACTCTGGTTCTGTCATCTTCTAGCTTCAAGTCTTCAGGTAAGGTGGTGAACCTTTCTGTGTCTCTGTGTTCCCCTTTGTAAAATAGGGATAATGGCATCTACCTCACAGAATTATCATGAGGAAAGTGATACAATGTATGTAAATAACAATCCTAGCACATAGGAAGCACTTAAGAGTTCTTGCTAATGAAGAATCATGTGCTGCATTTTATTGTCATGTTTCTGTCATCTCCTTTAATCTAGAGTAGTTCTCACACTTTATTTTTATGTTTCATTGATATTGACATTTTGGTAACTTTTTCTGGTATGATATGTGGTCATTAAAAAGAGACATCTTCTAAGAATACTGAACTATTTACAGATGAAGTAGCAAAATGACGGGGATCTGCTTCGGAATAATACTAGAAGGAAGGTAAGTAGGTAGAGGTATAAGACAAATCAATTGGCCATTAGTTTATTGGTAAAGTTAAGTGATGGATATGTGAAGGTTCTATTTTGTCTACTTTTCAGTATGTTTAAAAATTGTCATAATTAAATGTTTAAAAACTTTCCTGGACTAAATTACTGCTTTGTGAAATGTTTTTAAATTGAACATACAGGGTTTATAATTTTCATGCTGCAGGTCTACATGGTGAAAAGTTTAATAGCCAGAAATCATTTTAATCAAACATATTTATTTGAACTCAAAGATAAGGTATAGATCTGCCATTGTGAACCAGGAGATCATGGTTTGAGCAGTCAAGGCACATGCCTGGGTTTCAGGCTCGATCCCCAGTAGAGGGTATGCAGGAGGCAGCTGATTAATGACTCTTTCTCATCATTGATGTTTCTATCTCTCTCTCCCTTCCTCTTTCTGAAATCAATAAAAAAAATTTTTTTAAAAAAAACGTAAGGTATAAACACAGCTTTTTAAGTAGTAGAGAATACTGAGGTATAATATAAAAATCTATAATTAGAACTTCATTATAAATACAGAATTACAAGAAAAACAATAAGCTTGCCAAGTAACAAGTTGGGGCAGGTTAATTTGGCTAAAAATGTTACATGCAAATAAAATTTTAAGCTCATATTTAACTCTAAATGCCAACTATGCAAAAAATGCTTTGAAACATTTTTTATCACCAAATTAACATAGCATTTAGCTGTAGGCTTTTAAAAGTTACTCACTTATTCTTCCTTAGACTACTGTTCTGAATTAATAACAAATCCTTACTTTATAACTATTTTCTCACAAACTTACTGTAAAAGAACATTATTAAATGTACTTTATATTTCAACAACTTTTATTTATAAAACACTCTTTATTGTAATTGAAGACAATCTCCATACAATTGCTAATCTGATTCTTAAATTTGTGTTACAGGGTCCTTTTGTAAAGTAAGTGAAAAATAAAAGTAAAATACCTTAAAATGTCCTGTGCCTTCATTAGCACTGAAAAATGAAAGCAAAATCAATCAATAAAATATTTCAAACTATACGTTTAATCACATAACAGAAAAATAACATGAATATAAACATTTGAGGAACATCACTTTAATTTTAAAACATGGTCATCTAATCCTTTAGGAAATAAACATATATAGTTAATATAATTGTCATTTCTGCCACCTAGTGGTAGAGAAAAGGCAGTAGTATTTTATACTATGTATACTTCCAGGAGTTAAAAGGATATTCTTTTTTTCTTTCGTTTTGTTTTGTTTTGTTGCCCTTTATTGAAAAAAATCATTCCATGATCTGTGTGTTCCTTTTCTGGTAAATTTGTTGGAACATGAAATAGTGTTTTGGTGTAGGAGTTTCCAATTTCAGAAGTATAAAAGTTGTAAGGTCTAGGCGTATCAAAATCGTTTTATTATATGTTCTTGCACTGGATCTGGCTGGTAATAAAGCTTTGCATGGTGCATCGAAAGCTTTGGAGAAGTCATGTTTATTTATTAGAATCTTAACTTTTCAGGATATTCTTAATATTTAGATTTCCCCACATGTAGCATTCCAATATTTTCCAGCTTAAAGTAAAACTTCATTTTGCTTTTTATTATATCATAATTAATGTCTTTTTCTCTATACTAACCTTTACAAAATAGGTCCTTCTTTCATTCTTTCTTTGGAAATAAAAAACCAAGTTTATTTATTCATTTCTTGCATCTGAAGTACTCCTCCTCAATAACATCCTTGGCCTGAGACTCTGCCATAGTCCTTAACCACCACACAACTTCAATCTACACTTTATGGGGTTTAATAGTGTAGATATGTTAGGACTCCTATATGTCGATTCTTACAACAATCCTGTGAGTTGCTATTTTAACCCCGAATTTAGAAATATGGAAACTGATAATCAGAAAAGTTAAGCTACATCCCCATGGATTACATACCTTGAGTTAGACTCCTCAAAGCATATGCTCTTTCTATATATTCTATACTGGCTGTCTGAGGTTATTTCTTTTTAGAATCTTCTACTTTAAACATAGAAACTGAAGAACATAAGGGAGAGGTACAAGACTATCTAAGGTCACAAAACATGCATACCCAATTTAGAGGCGGAAGCTAGTTTCTGGTTCCGTGGTTGAAAAGTCACTGTCCACAGGCTGAACCTACCTCAGCTTTTTTTCTTTTCTAATTCCAGCAGGGTCACCAGCTGGACGGAATCTGCCCTTGTACTTACATCAGGTTAAAACTCATCTGCCACTTCTCCCCAGCCCTGAAAGAGCTTCCTATGGGTTACCCTCAGTAGCCTGACTTTTGTGGAAACACAAAAGTTTTTCCATGTAGTGAAAACGTGGGATTGAATTCTGGGTACTGGGGACTTCAAAAGGACTCTTTGCCAATGGAAGCTCTCTTTCAAAAGGACTCCCTGCCACACTGAAAGCTTTCTTTCCCTTAATCATTTGAAAACAGATAAAGGACTATAATAAAAGGCAGACAGACTACCCATCATAATCATCAAGTTCAATTCTCTTGTTTTACAGGCAGGGAAGCTGGTGCTCTGAGAAGTTAAAAGTTCCATGAGGGCAAGGGTCATGGCTGACTTATTCAAACTATATTCCACTATATTCTACTATAGCAGAGTGCTATGCTGGTAACTGGCAGGACCTTAATACACATCTTGTGAATAAACAAAAAGCAATTCGTGCCCTGAGCTATGCGGTTCAGTGGCTGGGTGTTATCTTGTGCACCAAAAGGTCACTAGTTCAATTCCTGGTCAGGGCACATGGCTGGGCTGGGGGATCGATCCCCAGTAAGGAGTGTGCAGGAGGCAGCCGATCGATGTTTCTCTCCCTCTCCCTTTTCCTCTCTTTAAAATCAATAAAAACATATTAAAAAATTATTTGAAAAAGCAACTCGTCTAAGTTTACAAAGCCAGATAATGCACTAGAACTTAAATCTAGATTTCCTTATTCAGAGTGTGGGCTCCTTTTTCTATAGTAGGGATGTATTAATAATGTAACAATTATAGCAAGCGGTCAAGTTTCCCTCATTAGGAAAACCTACCATTCTTAATTATTGAATTCTGCTCTGAGCACAGAAAGATAATGGTGGTACACCTGTCACATATTTGCTATCTTTGCATTACTGCCACTTTTTAAAAGTGTATCCCTGCTACTTTTTAAAGAAGGTATAAAAATACTGATTGTCAGTACCTATTGTGCATTACTGGAAAAGGTTACATTTCTCCAAATAATTTTTTAGAAACAGAAATTCTTTTTGATTTTCAAATTTTAATTAGACTTATTAAAAGTCAAGTTACAACGCCAAAAAATGCAAATACAATGAAAAGTAAAACGTGTCCTGGCCAAGTAGTACAGTTGGTTAGAGTGTTGTCCTGAAAAGCCAAGGTTGTGGGTTCAATCCCCAGGCAGGGTACATACAAGAATCAACCAACGAATGCATAAATAAGTGAAACAACAAATCAATGTTCTTCTCTCTATCTCCCTCCCTCCCTCTCTAAAAATCAATAAATAAAAATTTTAAAAAAGAAAAGGAAAATGCAAAACTTTTTCCTATCATAGACTCAGACTCTGGTGCCCTTTTCTAGAAGCAACTGCCACTAACATTTTCTTATTGTCCTTTTAGGACTGTTCTGTGCATGTAAAAAACATGTATAAACACATATTTCCCACCACCCTTTGTATAAAAACATAAATGGGCACATGCAGCATATTCTCTCCTGCATCTTGCTTTTTTCACTTAAGACGTTTAGCAAGATGTCCCATATTAGCATGTATGTTACTATATTAGTGCATGTTCATGTGCTATACATCATTATTTAACCAGCTCCCTTATGGACATTTAGGTTGAAACACATTCTTTAATAAATGAAATTTCTGGTTTGAAGCTTGGTATTACATGGTTCCTTCTCATTCCTTCAAAGAGATCTTTGTTTTTTCATATCAACCACTACTAACTATGTGGACTTTGTGGAGGCATAAGAAAGGTTTCTTGCCTCTTAGGGGTCCTTGATTTCAGTTGAGAAAGCAGGATAAATACATAAATACAACATAGCATAAGCTACTAAATAAGTGATAGAGGCAACAAGAGTTATAAGGAAGTGACTGAGAAGTAAAATCATCATCAGTAACATAAAATGGAAAATCTAGATTTTCCAAGAAAGGCATTTTAGTATATTCTACAAACCATGTAAGTACTTTAAAAACTACAGTTTGCTTTGAGCCTACTCTGAGATCACAATAGTCTGTTTAACAATGAATGGTATCAAACACAGTATGATACCAACTTATATGAATTAGAAAGATGTCCAACTACTTTGGACATCAATTTGGTAAAACCAAGTAAAGTTGAAGACAAACATAATTATAGTAAGACTCAGAAAATCTACATAGTCTTGGAGAACTATCTCACACATATGCAAGGAGATATGTACAAAAATATTTAAAGCAACATTGTTTATAATCACAAAAAAACATGGAAATAACTTAAAAATTAAACGGTGCAAGAAAAGATAAATTGTGGTATATTTAAGGGAATACATATTTCAACATGGATAAATCCCACAATGCTAAGTGAAAAAAGCAAGTTGGAAACACAGTATGATAACCATTTCAAGTTTTTAAATGGGCAAAACCAATTCTACTTATTGCTTAGGAATAGATACAGGGGAATTACAACCATTACTTTCAGGAGTCTGGTTATTAAACTCTAAAGGAAAGAAGAGTGAACAGGAAGTGGTAGCCAAGAGGCTTCTACCATATTATCATGGTTTATTTCTTAAGTCAGATGGTGGAGGTACAAGTGGTTATTAGACCTTTTTCTAAGTCTTAACTATTTCATAAATAATTTTTAAAAGGAAATCAGAAAAATTTGATTTTACTTGAGTTCAGGATGGTTTTTATAACAGTTGGGACTTTAAACATTCTTTATTTTAAGGTTAAGAGGTAGAGAGCTTTGGGGTACTCACCCAATAAATTCTAGTAATAAAGACATATCAAGTTCAGGTGGAATCCGAAACACTGATTCTAAGGCTTTCTTAGATCTTCCTTTGCTTGAAGGGACTGGCTGTGGAACAGCTATTTGATAGCCAAACAAAAAAGCTGAGTTAGAATAAAAATTTCATAAATTGAGATATTTGAAAAATAACTGCACAGATATTATAATTATGTTTACTACTTAAAAGATCATAAAGCACTCCATCTCCTTTCCCTTAATAACATCAGCTAATTTGTCACCGCCAGTGAAATTAGAAGCAAGCCTGGGACCAATCCACAATGGAAGGCAGACATGTGTGGCTGGTTTATCAGGGCCACAGACAGAGCTCATCAGAACAGCAGCAACAGTTGTAAATAACCTTCAACAAGCACTATGTGCCAGGGGGCTCAGGGCTCATGCTCAGCACTTTACATGCATCATTTCGTTTAATCCTTGTTATAATCCCACGGTATATGTACTACTGCTATTTTTTTTTTTTTAACTGTAAAGAAAGAGATTAGAGTTTAGTGAGATGAGGCAATTTGCCTAAAGTCACCCATATAGTAAGTGGGAGAACCAAGATTTAAAACCAAATCTAACTTCCATAATGTGACATTACCATCACCATAAAAATGAATGTTTGAGCTGTTACTATGTTCCAGGCACTGTTTTAAGTGCTTTGTACTGAAGAAACTGAGACATTGAAGTAATGTGTTAAAGTCATACAGCTAAAGTGGTAGAGCTAGGATCAAACTCAGACAATCCAGCTCCAGAGCCTGTACTCTTTAATTCTTATAACCAATTAAACTGGATTACACTACATAATTACTTTTAAAATCTTTCTCTCTTTGATCATAAAATAATCAGCTATCACCAAAAAGAACCTCAAAGGGAGTAAATTTTATTGTTAATGTTCTTTAAATCTATAAATACATTATAGTATACACCCAAACTTACCAGGTTTAGGTACTTCTAGACCTCTTTCTTTATAGAAATCATGCATTTGCTTTTTTTCTCCTAAAAAATGATAAAACACACACTAAATTACACTTAAAATGTAACTAGCAGAGTCAGCAGAGATTCTGGGATTCACAACTATGTAATAAAAAAAACTTACTTTCCTCTAGATTGATCACTAATTTGTACACTATGTCCTGTAACTGTCGGTCCAACCTAGTAAAAGGAAAGGATGGAGAATACCTCAGAATTCAGAATAATGCATATTGGCACAGAGTGAATGATGCTCTTTGTAAATACTATTTTCTCTTGGGAGTGGATATCTCCTTTCTCAGGTGAGTTACTTTTAGGTGGCACTCATGGCTCTCATCTTCGAGAACCTCAAGTAACTATATGTAATCATAATGCTAAGTAATTAGAGATTCTTCAATGGTTTGCTAAATCATTCCATGTGTGATGTTTTTATTCCCTTGATAAGAATGTGAGCTTAAGGGCAGATACTATATTTTGAACTTCTGTGTATCATCAGCAAAGCACTCATCTATGGAGGTAATAAAAAGGTAATAGTATTTGCTGAACAAATTAAAGCAATCCATGTTCAGTATTTTTCTTTCCTTAGAAAACTGATCATGAACTGAAAATCTGATTAATAAGCCACAATGACCTATGACAAGACTATTCTGAAGAGGCCAGTTTTTTCAGGTATCACTTTTAGAAAGTAGAATTCTAAATATACTAAAAATGACAAGCCTAAACTGGCCTCATTAACTTGAGTGATGGAATTAAAATCTCCAGGACAAAAGACCTGTGCCTTTTTAAAATTAAGTCCCCAAGAGATATCACAGTGCCTGGTACACAGTAAGTACTCTATATGTATTTCTTCAAAGAATAGGTAGAGTTCTCTTTCTTCTAATTTTGAGATAGGTCAAGAATATATATTCCTAAAACACAACTGCAAGCTTTCAGAAAAGTATACTTAAAATATAAATTGTACTTATATATTCCTCTTACCTTATGTTATAAAGAGGTTGTGTCTGATGTACTACTATGTTGCATTTTGGACATCTGTTGCTATAGTAAAAATGTCTTACAATGCAGCTTTTACAAACTGTTGAAAAAGAAAATGTTTAAATTAGGATGCTTTCGAGACATTTCAAAATTTGAATACATTATTCAGAAATGTGGACTATATGCTTACATGTATGAAGACATTCTGTAATGGTAGTTGCATCTATTAAGTAACCTTTGCAAATGGAACACAAGATGTATGGGGTCAGCTCAGAGAGATTAATCAGGCGCTGCAAATGCAATGGAAACAGTTTTAAAATACAAGTCCTTGCCTTCTCAATTTTTACTTTATTGATTGATTTGAGAGAAGAAGGAGGGGAGAGGCTTAGGGGAGGGGGGACGGACAGACATCGATTTGTTGTTCCCCTTATTTATACATTCATTGGTTGATTCTTGTATGCTCCCTGACCAGAAATCTAACAGGGAACCTTGGCATATCAGGATGACACTCTGACCAACTAAGCTACCAGGCCAGGGCCTACCTTAAAAGCCATAATCCCAAGATTTCATTATAACCAATAAGTAACTTACTTTGCAGCATGAAAACATGTTACAGTACCTCCAACCCTTCAAAGGGATGGAAGTTACAATAACACGCTATAAACCAGTGTTTTGAATACATTCCACTCTTTCGGACATACTGTACATTGCCAGGTGAGGAACACCTTACCTTACGACTTGCTTTAAAAACGGACCAACTTTCCAGACATTGGGACTTAAAGTTTAACACAGTGATTCTGACTGGCGAGGTGTATTATTACCTAACTTGATGAAGTATGTGCTACCACATTAAAAACAAACAAAAAATCTTCCCAATAAGAGACTCGGTGCGGAAGGGCTTAGCATCCTCTCAACACCAGGGCTGTAAGCTCCCGGGTGGCAGGAGCACGGGCCCCTCGGCCCCTCCCGCCCGGCGCGGAGCAGCTTCAATAACTATTTACGGAAGGAGCTAAGTCGGACCCGCGGAGCCTAAGCGACCTGCAGGGTCCTCACAAATGACTCCGCAGGGAGTCGGGGCGGGACGGAAAGCGGTCCGCGCCACGCGCCAGGCAGGCAA